GTTTATATAAACATCATCGACACTTGAAAAGTGAATTCCCTTTGATTCTGTTTTATTAACCAATTATACCCCTTATTTTGTTAAAATTCTCTGTCTTTATTTTTTATCCAATCTCTGATAAACTCTATTTATCTCCTATCAACTGTCTTAGTACATATATCTCTATGGCTTTTGTTGTACATGTTTTATTGTTATACATTCTGAGTTGAATTGTGTTCCTGCAAAATTCACAGTGCTAACCCCTAGTACTTCAGAATGTTACTGTATTTGGAAACAGAGTGTTTATAATCAAGTTAAAAATAGGTCATTAGTGTGACCTAATACAATATGACTGCTGTATTTGCAAAAAGGGAAAGTTTGGAGACAGACAGTAAAACAGGAAGAACACCATGTGAACATGAAGACACATTTAAAAATACCAGGTAGAGACAAGAGAGAGGACAGCCAAGAAGAGAAGACTGAACAGATCTTTCCCTCCTAGTCTTCCGAATGAATCAATTCTGCTGTCTTGAGTTTGAACTTGTAGCCTCCAGAAGTATGAGAGAATAAATTTCTGTGGCTTTAAGCCACACAGTTTGTGGTAGTTTGTTATGGCCCCCCTAGCAAAGTAATGCACTGTGTTATTCTTCAATGGTTTTAATGTTCTATCTTCACTATCAGTTGATAAAAATCACACCATTTGTTCCTTTAAAATTGCCTTTAACACTGCATTCCTGTTTGCCTTCACATTTGATTGGCAGTCCTTTGTCTGATCTGTTTAAAAAAATTATATATATATATATATATATATATATATATATATATATAGAGAGAGAGAGAGAGAGAGAGAGAGAGAGAGACAATGTCTTTATTTGCTTAATTTATTTTTTAAATATTTATTCTTAAGTTTTAGGTGGACACAATATCTTTATTTTACATTTATGTGGTGCTGAGGATTGAACCGAGTGCCTCACACACAACAGATGAGCACTCTACCCTGAGCCACAACCCCAGTCCCCTTTTGTCTGATCTTTTAAGATCGTGGCCTCCCTTCGTTTTATGTGCCCAGGAATTTGCAGTGCACGCGTACACAGCACCGTGAACAGTGATAGCCTATATGTGAACTCTTGGTGGAAGCCGCCGAGTTTTTACATCTCCTTAGGAAAGTGCATTCATCTTTCTTTGCCTCAGTGCTGCCATTTTACAGACAAGGGAAGAATAATTACTCCTATACCTTAAGATTGTTATGGGAGGTCAAGTCAGAAAGCTAGGGTAACAGGATTATTTCAGGACTATTTCAGGGTTACCAGGCAGCTGACTTTGAAATAGAAATTTAATGTGCAGGAAGTTTATTGGGGGATACTCTTAACAGGTATGGAGAGGTGGGGTGTAGGAAGCATGATTGGACAGAGGAATAAGTTCAACAGTGATGCAATCACAACAAAGGCTCCACACTTAATGAGGAGGAGAGTGGGTTTGAACTATGTCCACAAGTTCTTTGATGTTCCCTTCCAAAGGTTAAAAAAAAACCAAACTCCATTCCTTTGAGTGGTCTGGATTTAGTGACTGTTTACTAATGAATAGAAGAGTAGATATGAGGTTTTAGAGACTAGGTCATACAAGGCCACACAACTCCAATTGTTCTCTCTTGGACTGCCTGGTCTAGAAGTTAGCTGCCATACTGGGAGGACTGTCAAGCAGCCTGTGGAGATGAAGCGAGGGCCACCTTGGAAGTGGATCTTCCAGCCTCAGTTAAGCTTTAGATGATGTAGCCCTGTCCAACTCCTTGACTGCAACTATCTGAGACCTTACGCCAGAGCCACACAGTTAAGTAGGTACTGAGTTCCTGACCCACAGACACTATAGTAATTATTTGTTTTAAACTACTGAATGCTAAAGTAACTTGTTACACAGCAAATTGATAACACAGAAAGCTTTGGCACCTATATGGTCCTTCAGTGTTGTCCTGAACTGGGGGAATGGGGAAATGGCCTTTATATTCTACAACAATTAGTCATCAAACATGGGTTGCCCTATACCATAAGAAGGGATCATGAACTTGCTTGCTTCAGCAGCACATATACTAAAATTGGACTAATGCAGACAAGATTAGCATGGCCCTGCAAGGGTGACACACAAATCCGTGAAGTGTTCCACATTTTTGAAAAGAAAAAAAGCGGGGGTGGATCATGACCTTGGACAAGGCTTAGTTTGTGCTAAGGGCAAGTTCTGAGAGCAGTTAAGACTAAAACTCCCAGCAGCTCACCAAATGTGAGGATCAGGACAGACAACCCACAGCATCCACTTAAAAATGCTTAGTGGGATATCTCCTGTTGTCTCAGAATTAACCCTAGGCTTACAAATGAACCTTGAGGGCACAGTATTCCATCTTCCAATAACATACCTATAATTGGGGCCACTCTCCTCAAACCTCAATAAGAAGCTGCAGATCTGGCTCTGCTTCTACCAAAAACTTTGCCAGTGCTCTCTGTCACAGTCTATTCAGGAAGGCAGTGGAGGAAATGAAAAGAGGTGGCAGGCCTTGTGGATCCCAGTGGTGTTTCAGGTGGGAAGTGATATAGCAGAGCTGCCATAAAATGATCTCTCCAAGGTGCCAGTGAAGTCCACTGGAGGGGCCTGCATTCCATTTATTGCCAGCAGGTCTGTTTCATCAGGATTCCCCATCTGTACTTCAGAAAGGAACAAGATTTAAGAAGGATGGTAGAGTAGATAAGGGTGGACACAGGGCAGCCTTTAGTCCAGGCTTTCCTATGGCAGAAGTGTATTTCTTGTGGTTCAAAACTGTTTTGCTGGAACTTCATCTAAGATGGGGGTGTACTGATGGATGCTGACATTAGGTGCTGGAAAAGATCAAGCTGAGACTGATTTCCAATGGAACTGTCTGGAGGGAAGAGGGCCCCACTATGACTTCCCATCTGTGCCCCACATCAAGTTTCAAATAGGGGCCAGTTATCCAGATAAGCAAGGTCAACTGAGACAATTCCAGCAGCCTCTAGTTAGGATGCTTGCCTCATTTCCTCTCGTCTTCTTCCCTTCAACAGCAGTGGGGCCTTGAAGGTCTGAAAGCCAGAACCACAACTTGCACCCTTCCCACCCAAAGGAATAGGTGTCCTATTAAAGCCATGAGGCTGACACTTTGACATAGCATGATAACTTAGTAACTGAAATTGACCAAAAGTTATGGTATGTCAAAGGTGAGATTAAGGACTGAAAAAGATAGGAAGAGCAGTGATTGGGAAAAAAATGGACTGTTCTGTTCTGTTTGGCACCTTCAGTGTTGTCCTGAACTGGGGGAATGGGGTCACCACGGGTCACACTGTTAACTGCTGGAAAGAGCTCTTTACATTGCACCAGCCTTCCACAAACATTGTGTACAACTTACAAAGACAAGTAAAATATGGTGTCCTCGAGGAACAGTTGTAAACTAAGCAAAGTAGGTTTGCTGTAAAAAACAAGCCTAGAAAGTGGCTACGTTTCTTTTCCCATTTCTCTACATAGACTACTAAGTTGTTTTTTTTTTTTTAATCACTTAAAAATGATGGGTGAGTCTAGTGAAGAGGAATCCATTTCTTGAATTGCATATAGACTAGTGATTATTAAGTCCCTAATGAATTGTTTTAGAATTGATGGGTCTGAATCGACAGAAAGATCTTTAAGACAAGAGGGAAGTCCTGAGAGCTGAGAGGAGCTGAACACTGACAACTGAACACTGGGAAACACCACATTTAGTAACCTTCAAAATCAATTGCAACTGAAGAACCACCACGGTCCGCCCAAGAAACACTTTAAATGCTTAAGAGGGGATCTTCTGAGATATTAATTCATGAAATCATTTAATAGAGAGACTGTTATCTTAAAAGTAATGCATTTTTTAAAAAAGATCAGAATCAAGGAATTTATTAAAAACCCCACTTCTTCACATTATTTAAATCAGTTAAAATAACAAAATTTGACCTTCCGCTTACAGGGAAAATCTCTATGTAAGCATTTACAAGAGATCTTATTTCAATAAATGTAGTCTGCGCTCAACACTGTACTGCTTGCCCTGGCTGGAGGCAGTACCCCCATTCCCCAGTAGCTGCTGTCTACTTTAGTCAGTTGTTGCTGGGAACAGAAAGGAGAACAGGCAGGTCTGTTCCAGCTCGAATCGTGCAGTTCCAACCAATCTGCGAGCCCGGGCCTGCGAGCGTGCCTCCCCTCCCCGTCGCGGCCCGCGCCGTGGCGCACGCTGAATATTCAGCACCCGCTTCCAGGACACGCGCCTGGGGAATACCCACAACCCCTCGCGGCGCGCGGAGCTGGGCTGGCGGCTGACCCAGCGCCGCGGTTCCGAGCCGACCGAGGTCACCCCGCGCTTCGCGAGACCTTGGCCCGGCGCCGGCGGGGGCGGGGCGGGCGCCCGGCCGCCAATCAGCGCTGGGCAGGACGCGAGCGCGGGGCCGCACCCCAGCGGGTGACCGGGGTGCTCCCGTGGGAGGGCGGAGAATGGCGCCAGGCCGGGGAGGGGCAGAGCGGGTGCCGGCTCCATAGAATCCCGGGGAGGAAGAGGGGAAAGGCTGGAAGTGAAGGGAGGAAACAGGTGTGAGGAAGGACCGCATTCCCAAGCTGTAACCTCCTGAAGCCACCTCTGCAGCGCAGAGCTCTGTGCCGCACAGCCTGATGGGAGACCCGGCCTTCCATCACTAGGCGCGCCGGCAAGACGGCCTCGGCCCCGCCCCCTGCCGCGGGGCACGCCGGGAGAGCGGCGACCTCCCCCTTTCCTCCCTGAAGGAGGGAGAAAGGGGTATTTCCGAAGAAAGACAGTCCTTGCGGAAGGGGTGGGGCTATCTGAGTACCGCCCCCCACTCCTGGCGGGGGTGGGGCTAGGGTGCGAGTCCCGCTGCCCGCGCTCAGACCCGCCCCTGCGCCGGAAGGAGGAAAGCGTGGGTCCTACTCCCTATCGGATCTGGGGAGCCGCGCCGACGTAGAGTGCGAAGTCACGTGACTCCACGAGGGAGGGGGCGGGGCTACCCCTCCTTCGGGTCACGCGCGACCGGAAGTGGTGGTCGCTCCGTTGAATCTGAGATGGGGACTTCCCTGGACATCAAGATTAAAAGAGCGAATAAAGTTTATCACGCCGGGGTAAGTGGAGGGGTGGCCGGGCCTGGGGATTCCGTTGTCTCTAGCGCCCCCCACACCTCTGGGCGACCCTGGGCGAGGCGGAATGACGCCGCCAGGTGCGCTCCTGCCAGGTGTGTCCCGCGCGCTGCTTACTGCTGCGTGAGGGTCGTGGAGGGCGTCTGCGGGGCGCGCAAGGGCCTGGGCGCGGCGCCGGCGCTGCGGCTGTCGGGCCTCGCACGTCCTGTGCGCCGCAGGTCCCCAGGCCTGACCTGTCACACGGAGCCCTCCGGCGGAGGAGTTGATGATCAGACAGACGCCCCTTTCCCAACCCCCTAACGTGGCCGCAGCGGGCTCATGAACGAAAAGGACAATTAAGTTTGAAAACAGAGGTATGCACATCTGGTAGAAACATACTTAGGCAGTGGTCACTTCTAATAACATACAAGTTACACCTTTTCTGGGAAGGAATGGCATATTAAAAGCAAGTCAAAGCAAACCTTTACATCGTTAACAAGTTTTGTGCCATTGGCCTCCCACGGGCCTTGGTTTCCTTATTTGCAAAATGAGAATATTGGAAGTTTCCTTCAACTTGGAATCTGAACCCTTATCTACGTCAAAATCAGTCACTCTGGAGAATTTTAAAATATTATTGACAAGGTCCTACTACAGAGATACGGGAGATGCTGATGTTCAAGAGCTAGGGTTGAACATTGCTATTCCCATGCTCTTTGGAATAAAATTGATATCATTCCTTCGTCACATGAATGCAAAGTGGTGTCAAATGGGGCAGAATACCAGGCAAAGATCTTGAATGAATGCTAAAATGTTTGGGTAAGAGTTGGGGAAACCTAATAATTGTACAGACTCAAATGACCACCTCTCAGGTTATTACTTAACAAATGGAGATGCTACCTTTATAATGGATGACTCTTCTAGTCACCACACAGAACCAAAATCAACAAGAACACCACCTTCCTATCACCACTGACAAGACTGACTGAAGTTACACACCCCTAATGCACTGAAAAGGACACAATCACCTATGAAGTATTCTTGCCAAAAATATTTATTTTATTTTTTTTAAAGAGAGAAAGAGAGAATTTTTATTTATTTATTTTTTTAAGCTTTCGGCGGACACAACATCTTTGTTTGTATGTGGTGCTGAGGATCGAACCCAGGCCGCACGCATGCCAGGCGAGCACGCTACCGCTTGAGCCACATCCCCAGCCCAGCCAAAAATATTTAATCTGCATGGGTTCATAAAGAAACCAGGCATGTCCCACTTGAGGGTCATTCAGTTCAACAGTTGACCAAAATAGCTCAGAAACATTGGTCCTAAAGAAAAGGCAGGAGAGGTTTTCAAGATTAAAACACACCTAAAGGAACATGGGAACCAAATACTGTGCACAATTTTTGATAAAAACAAATTTAAATGTGGACTATATGTTAAATAATGTTTTTTATTTGCGTTGAATTTCCCCAGTGTGCTATTTGTATTTTGGTTACATGGGAGAATATTCGACATGCTCATCAGTATTTAGAAGCAAAGTGTTAAAGTAACTAAATCTCAGATGGTCCCACCATAAATTGTGCACATGTATCTGTTCTTGTTTGTGGTGCAGGAGAAAGAGAAAAAGCAATTGTAGTAAGATATTTAAAAATTGCCAGATCTTGTTGAAAGCTTTGTAGGTCTACACTATATTCTTTAAAAAACAGCAGCTTTGTAGGTATAAAATCCAAATAACTTAAAATCCACCCTTCTACAGTATAATTCGATGTTTTTAATATATATTTGCAGAGTTGTGCATCCACCACACTATCTAATTTTAGAAAATTTTCATTACCCCCAAAAGAAACCCTGTACATATTACTAGTTACACTCATTCCCTCTCCCTGCTCACCCCTGGCAATCACAAATTTACTTTCTGTCTCTGAATTCGCCTATTCTACACATTTCATATAAATGGAATAATAATACAAGATATGGCTTTTTATTACTGGCTTCCTTCTTTGAGCTAGCATAATGTTGTCAATGTTCATGCATATAGTTTTATGTGTCAATTCCTTAGTCATGTTTGTGGCTAAATAATATTCCCTTGTATGGCTAGACCACATGTTTATCCTTTCATTTGTTGATGGACATTTAGGTTATTTTCATCTTCTGACCTTGAAGAATAATGCTGTTATAGACAGTCTAGTAAAAATTGTTATGTGAACGTGTTTTCATTTCTCTTGGATATATTCCTGGGAGTGGATTTTGCCTGGTAACTTTATGTTTAGCTTTTTTTGAAGAATTGCCGACTATTTTCAAAAATGCCAGTCATTTAGGGTGCACCAGCAATATCTGAAGTTCCCAATTTTTCTAATACTTTGTATCCATATATCTTTTTGGAAGCTTGGAAATTGTTCTAAATAATAATGGAGGAGGGGCAATGACAAGTACATTTAAAAGTCTGACATTTTACTCAGAAATGTTACCCCTGCTGAGATGCTGAGATGTTTTTTGAAACTAATGTACCGGTAATGAAAAGTACATTTAGAAAAGGTGCAAGAAATGAGATGGTGAAGTTGCCCCAGTAGAACTCTTGTGCAGCCAGGACTGTTCTCTGTGGGGAGCAGAATTGAAGATGAGATCAGCTGTGCCTCATAACATATCCCTTGGTGCTGTTACCAGGAGGAGAGTCTCCAGTTAGCTTACAGCAGTATTACTCAATCTTCAGTCACTTTTTATGTTTAAATGTATTTTTAAAGGAGATTATTATGTGATAATTGTAAAGAAAAGCCTAACTTCTACTAAATGGTCACCTATGTTTTTTAAGGCAAGAAAGAAAGTAAAAAAGTTACTAAATCAATAGATCTAATCAGTTGACAAAAATATATACCCGGCCCTGTGTACACATGACTTAGGTGCTAGACCCCAGGATCTGCTCTTCAGAATAGGTGGATTCTGCAGCCAGCACTGTCATGGCTGCTTCCTGAGATGTAGGTGTAAGACCTGGAGCTGGCTGGTTGCTTGGTAAGGTCTCAGTGACCATGGACAATGCATATTTTGAGTGTAGTTTGCACCTGGGTTGAGGGAAGGGCAGCACCTCTTTCCTACCCTTCCCAGCTTCAGTTGGCTGCAGGTGGAGCTAAGGGCATACGAAGTTTCCATTTTTTCCATCCACCTTGGTGAAGATTCAGTTACTAAAGACCATGCAATTCTTGTCGTTGGTTACCCCCTTTGTCTGACCCTAAGCAATAACATCCCAGGCCTGAGATCATTCAAGTGAAACATGTTTATCCATATAACCATATAAAGCAATCTTATGTCCCAGCGGAGGTTCTTGGGAAACATGGGTTAGGGGTTTTGACAGGTGGTATCATTTACTTTTCTAATGAGGAAATTGAGGCTGAGACAGGTTGAAGAATGTGATCATCCAACTAATGACAGAGCTAGGTTCCAACTCAGATCAGTCAGATTCCAAATTGTGTCCACTCAGTACTTATTATACTGCATCCCAGGAGTGGCCATTTTTATGCAGAATGGTGGAGTTTGTAACATGGAAATGGCCCGTTATTTGTTTCCTAGGAGTGCTATAAATAACATTGTCATATTTCAATTTTAAAAAAAAGACTGATATGGCTTCTATTCTGGAGATAAGCTGATTCTAACTTTGGAGGGCGGGGGTTGCAGGTATAGACTCTTACTATGCTTGTTGCCTAGGTTGGCCTTGAACTCAATCTTCCAACCTTAGCCTCTAGGGTAGCTAGGATTACAGGCATGTGCCACTGCACCTGCTATTATGCTGATACTGTGTTTTTCAGACTTTTAGTTATGAAAGCAGTTGAAAACAGTTTTGATTTTATGGATACTAGAGAACCTAAGTTATACTTGGATTTAAAATTGATATTTGGGTTCTTTTTCCTGGAGAACAATGTTCTTTGACAAAATTATTAAATTTGAAGCTTTGAAAATATAAGTGCAATACATGCCATAGAAGAAGGATGTAAAGGGAAAAGGCTCTTTTGGATTCCCTTCCTGCCCTTAGAGGTATCCACAGGTGGTTTGTGTACTGTTACAAACATTTATACACACCATGTGCAACTGACAGCTTGTTCTTTTTTGCTTAATAGTGTATTCTTATCTGGGATTTTTTTTTTTTTTCATACCAACACATTTTCATTACTCCCATTTTTTTTTTTTTTTTTTTTTGGATTTTTATTTAAGCAGTAAATTCATTCAGATTCAACTTATGTCTGTTGATCTCTGGAAGACGGCAGGTCAAGCAGAGATAAGTAAATATATAAAATGAAAGAGGAACACAGAGTAGGATCTAGTCATTTTGGGGAAGAGGAATCTGGGGCTCTTCTGGAGTTTCACTGAAGCTAATTTTGAAAATGAAGTATTAAATCAGAGTCTAAACCCTGCTACTTTAGAAGCTGAGGCTGCTGAATTGTGAATTCAAGGCCAGCCTTGGCAATTTTTGTTGTTGTTGTTGTCATTGTTGTTTTTACTGAAATATCACAGTGTAATTTACAGTGCTCCTGGGAAATGAATAACAACCATTTCCATGTTGGCTTCAGTCAGGAGGAGTAGACAGCAAAGTGAACCAGAACTTGTGGACATTTGGGACGTGATCTCAGTCCAGTGAAAGGTTTTTTTGCTGTTACTCTTCCTCATCTGAATTGGCAGCAACAGCAATATTTTTTAATGCAACTTGGCTTTATTGTCTTTCCAAACAATTTCTTCTTCAAGTTAATTCTGTTCTATTAAGAATACACTTCCATGGGCTGGGGTCATAGCTCACTAGTGGAACACTCGCCTCGCACATGTGAGGCACTGGGTTTGATCCTCAGCATCACATAAAAATAAATAAACAAAATAAAGATATATATAAAAAAGAAAAGAATACACTTCCGTGGGCTGGGGTTGTGGCTCAGTGGTACAGCGCTCGCCTAGCATGTGAGAGTCCCTGGGTTCAATCCTCACATCATATAAAAATAAATAAATAAAGGTATTGTGTCCAACTACAACTAAA